TTTACCTATAGTACTCTCATCAAATTTTGAGGATTAACCTATGGTACTCTCATCAAATATTGAGGATTAACCTATGGTACTCGCATCAAATATTGAGGAATAACCTATGGTACTCTCATCAAATATTGAGGATTAACATATGGTACTCTCATCAAATATTGAGGATTAATCTATGGTGGTGTTGTCATGCTGTCATCAAATAGGGAGGATTAACCTATGGTATTGTCATCAAAAACTTTAAACTAAACTAAGGTATTCTAAACCAATCTTGTAGAGCAACCTAGATTACTGTAATTTAATATTTCAAAACAACCTTAGATATTGTCATTAATTTTTTCGATCCTGATGAAGGGAAGATGATGCAATCCAATGATCAGTATATAGGAAAGATACTTGGATGGGCCAGTACATAAACTTTACTAGTTGTGCACCCATCCAGTGCAAATGTGGCCTAGTGGGAACATTATTCAACCTCGCTAGAAAGATTTGCTCCAACGATATGTTACAGTCTGAACAAGAAACCCTCAAACGTTATTATTGAATGGATGCCCAGTTGGATTAATTATGTGCTACTGCCAACCTCCTCAACCAACTACTACAGAAACATTAGTCCCCAAACAATAAGTCTACATACAGCTAACCTATCGAGGGGATGACGCTATGAAACGGCTATACGACCAGCTCAAAACAGCAGTCAGAAAAACTTTCTACGCCGCTTTGCCAATTAACAGGTTTAAAACTACTCCAACGCCCTCGATGAATGCACCAGTGTCGACGTACGCCAAATCAAATTGTATCTACCAATTTAAATGTAGCTGTGAAGCTGCTTATGTGGGCAGAACTGATCGACGCCCGGAGAAACGAGTCGTTGAGCACATCCCAGTATGGGTGGAAAAAGCCATGCAAATTAATATTCAAAATGAGAATACTGGCCGCAAAGATCACCCCTCTGCAATAGCACGCCATCTTCTAAAATCTGGACACGTGATGACTAGAAAAAATTTATTTAAAATCCTTCATTGTCAACCAATGGCAGAACGCTAAGATTTCTTGAAGCTTCCACGATTTGTCACCTGCGCCCGGAACTCTGTATTCAGAAAGAGATGGTTCTGTCTTTACGGCTGCCTTGGTAAAAAAACAGACAGTTATGTTTGATCGTTGTTGAAATTGTACTTCAGTTATAAAGGATTCACTTATTTGCTTCATTTATGCAATTGTAACTGTAGTATGCACCTGACGAGATATAGAGAAATATGCCAGGCAATAAATTGTGCAATCTATTGTTTGTGTCTTCTTTGTTCAAATTTACAAAGGGGAAACATTGCTTTGATTTTCTAAAGTTCATTGTTAATTTTTGAGAACATCATTCCACATTGGATATGACAAAACAACCTAAAGTTTTGTGTTCAAAAAGTGGAAATTAATCTAGGTACTAACTGGAGCAGCAGCTGAAATGGTGTAGTAGCTAGACATTTACCTGCTGATATGAAAGTTTTGGGATCAAATCCACATAGCGCCAGATTGCTTCAAACCAAACTTGACTTCCAGCCTTAAATGGGTACCAGGTAAAGTCCTGGGAAGTAAAGGCAGGCGGCATGATATTGACCACATCGCTCAATGAGGGCGGATTCATTGCTCTATAAAAGAATAAGTCAGGCTTTATGTGCCCAATGTGCCCCTTGGGTGTACAAGGACCTTTACTCTTTTTTTTTTTAACTTCTACTGGTAAGAAGGTCAGCATTTGTGGCTTGAACATTGTAAACGTGCTTTGTAATGCCAGGGTGCCAAGTTCGATCCCAGCTGCTGACAATTTGTCCTGCATTGGTTTCAACAGTTGGTTGTACCAAGAGCTGACTATTTAGAGAGCAAGGGCAAACTACTTAATGTAAAATTTTCCTAGAAAAACCACAACAGCTAAAAAAAAAAAAATACTGGGGTTGGTTCTGCAACGTCCTGTAAAGAATACCCAACTAACTAACTGAAAAGAGGTGGATAATCACATATATCAACAGAGACAGGGAAATAACTGCAACGATGAACCTCAAGAGCTCAGAACACTTCAGAAAAGAAAAAAAAGACTCAAAGGTACTATCATCACATACTGCATATGAGTGACCTTTAACTCCACCAAGACCGCAGGACGAGCATAAAACACAAAGTTCCACTATTGTGATGAGAATGACCCAGGTACAAGTCACAGAAACTCCATTCAACGGTTAGGTTATTTGAGGGGCCCCTAACTACAGCTGAGGTGCGGCTTTAAAATAACGGAAAATGTTTGTCCCAAATTGGGGCAGATGTAGTGGATACAGAAGATCAACCAGATGTGTTGTCATCAATGAAGCAATCTAGACAGAAAATATGATCACCTGGTCCAGAGATAGTAAACAAGCAATCTCAGCACAGCGCACCAACACCACAGAAATGTTAAAGTAAAGGGCCCTTTTCCACACCTTCAGGCATATTGAGCATATAGGGCTACAGTTAAATGTTATAGACCAATCGGCACTTGGTTGGCGATACCGTCAGCATTACGTCGGCCATCTTTACTTCCCAGGACTTTACCTAGTACCCATTTAAGGTTGGGTCAACTGGGAGCCAAGGTCATTTTTGTAAAAAGTCTAACATCAATCAGATTTGAACCCACAACCTTTGGATCAGCAGGTGTGTAACTGCTCCACTATAGTGGCTTCCAGGCATGATCATTAAATATTGCAAACAAGCTTAAGATGTGATCATCAGATACTGAACATAAGACATTGTCATCAACTACTGTAGATCAGTTTCAAACACTTTTGATTATTGCAGATTTGTGTACGGTATTGTCATCAACAGTTGTAGATCAACCAAGAGTGGTATCACCAAGTATTGTCAATCAACCTAACTGACTGTCATCAAAAAGATAAATCAGCTTGAGGTATTGCCATCAAATACTGAAGATCAACTTATGGTATTGTCATAAAAAAAAAAAAGAAAAAAACTTCAAATCAAACTGAGGTACAGTCATCTAGTTTTGCAGAGCTACCTAGATTCTGTAATTACATATTTCCAATCAACCATGGATATTGTCATTATAGATTTCCAATCAACCATGGATATTGTCATTTTAGATTTCCAATCAACCATGGATATTGTCATTATAGAGTTCCAATCAACCATGGATATTGTCACTACATATTTCCAATCAACCATGGATATTGTCATTACATATTTCCAATCAACCATGGATATTGTCATTACATATTTCCAATCAACCATGGATATTGTCATTACATATTTCCAATCAACCATGGATATTGTCATTACATATTTCCAATCAACCATGGATATTGTCATTACATATTTCCAATCAACCATGGATATTGTCATTACATATTTCCAATCAACCATGGATATTGTCATTACATATTTCCAATCAACCATGGATATTGTCATTACATATTTCCAATCAACCATGGATATTGTCATTACATATTTCCAATCAACCATGGATATTGTCATTACATATTTCCAATCAACCATAAATATTTTGTTAATAAATATTGGAGCTAAATCAGACAAAGTAGCCTTCATCAAACACTACACACTACAGATATTTTCAACATATTTTCATCTAAAACTGTCAATCACTAGAGTATTGTCATCAAGTATTGTACATCAACCCAAGGTACTATCATCAAATATCATAGATCAACCCAAGAAATTATCATCAAGTATCACAGATCAACCCAAGGTACTGTCATCAAGTATTATAGATTAACCCAAAGTTTGTCATCAAGTATCATAGATCAACTCAAAATATTGTCATCAAGTTTTATAGAACAACCCAAGATATTGTCATCAAGTATTATAGATCAACTCAAGGTATTGTCAAGCATTATAGATTAAATAAAGCTATTGTCATCAAGTATTATATATCAACCCAAAGTATTGTCACCAAGTATTATAGATCAAATTAAGCTATTTTTATCAAGTAATAAAGATCAACCTAAGGTATTGTCATTAAATATTATAGATCAACAGAAGGTATTGTATTGTCATCAAGTATTATAGATCAAATTAAGCTATTGTTATCAAGTATTATAGATCAACTCAAGGAATTGTCATTAAGTATTAAAGATCAACCTAAGGTATTGTCATCAAATATTATAGATCAACCCAAGGTATTGTCATCAAATATTATAGATCAACCTAAAGTATTGTCATCAAATATTATAGATCAACTCAAGGTATTGTCATTAAATATTATAGATCAACTCAAGGTATTGTCATCAAATATTATAGATCAACTCAAGGTATTGTCATCAAGTATTATAGATCAACTCAAGATATTGTCATCAAGTATTATAGATCAACTCAAGATATTGTCATTAAGTATTACAGATCAACTTAAGGTACTGTAATCAAATATTACAGATCAACATAAGGTACTGTCATCAAGTATTATAAATCAACCCAAGCTAGTTTCATCAAGTATTAAAGATCAACCTTAGGTATTGTCATCCAATATTGTAAATCAACCTCAGGTACTGTCATCAAGTATTGTAGATCAACCTGAAGTACTGTCATCAAATATTGAAGATCAGCCTGTGGTATTGTCATCAAAAATGTAAATCATACTAAAATATTGTGGTCCAATTTTTCTAGAGCAACCTGGGTTGTGTGGTGGCTGGAGTTCAGGGAAAAGCCAGTCACACATAATAGATTCAAAGATGTACAAGGTATAGTGACAGTTTAGGGGAAAATTCAAGTTAGTTTTGGAAATTTATGGACTTTACAGAAATGTTTTGGAAAGGTGAGATGATTCTTAACACCTTATTGTCATGACCTGTAGCAGGGTCAACACGTGACCTGGAGCAGGGTCAACACGTGACCTGATACATCGAGATCACAGGCTCTAGAGAGACATTAATGCCCATACTAGATGGCATATCACTTGATGATGATGATGATTTGGAAAGACAATTTTTTTTTAAAACATTATTATCGAGCGAACAAGGTCACGCTAATGCATCATCGTCTTCAAATATATCCGAGTCCCGTAAGAAGGAGATATCAACAATTGGAGAAGCCGAAGAGGTGTGCCGCTGTGATGGGCGAATGAATGAAGATGAAGACAGACGACACGAAGGGGGTGCATGGACAGACGATCTCGACCTGTCTGCCAGGACAGGGTCGTCGTTGATGGAAGCTCCTCTCGGAATGGATTTCACCATATCAAACATGGACTTGAAACGGGAACATGGCTTCTGCAGCAGATCAGTTGGTGTGTTGAATTCAACAGCCTAGAAAATAAATAAACAGATTAATTAATATCTCCTGATGCAGAATATTAGTAGCAAAGTTAACTGTTAACATGGAAGTTAACTGAATAGTGGAGTTAGGCTGATACTTCTTGTTTCTTCACTGGTTTTAAGCTCGGACAGAAAGTTCTGGTTGTTCATCAATTCGGACTTTGGCCTTGTGCCAGGGCCTGAGTTTTGCGAGTACATCCATTTTACTGGCTTATTTGTGGTTGTTCCTTGCCATTCGGGTAGATGTGCTCCGACTTCATAGGAAGCCCCATATAGCTGTCTCCTACGGCATGCTTGTTTGGGAGTCAGTGGGTTTGAGTCAGTGGGTTTGAGTCAGTGGGTTTATTCTTGTTCTCACCAAAATGTGGCTCCGGAATACCCTGAATCTATCTTTGTATTCTGTCTCCAATACCATGAATCTATCTTTGTATACTGTCTCCAATATCCTGAATCTAACTTTGTGAAAGCAAGCCTTTTTTTCAATGAACCATGCATCTCATTATTATTCTTCCCAACACTCTGTGGTATATAACATGGCCAAAGTATTCTTCTACTTCTGCTTCTTCTTCACACTCACTAGCTGTAAACTCTGGCAGAAAGTTCAGGTTGTTCATCCACTTCTGGTTTTTAGTCTTCTACCAGGACTTGAGTTTTGCATGCACATCCATTTTACGGATCTGGCTTATCTGTGTCCAAGTTGTTGGTTTCTCACCTCCCAGGCAGATGCACTACAATTTCAAAGGAAACATTGATCCTAATCACTTTGGCTTCTACCTAGAAATGAATGCCATGGAAGAATGTTACTCTTTTCTCCTGACTCATTTGGTTTTATTTTTCAACCTTTACTCATTTGTGTGAGTAACAATGTTTCTGTTCTCACTAATTAACTCCTTTGATAGAAGCAAATAATTTATGTTACTCTTTTTATAATAAGTTCTGCAAGAACAGCAAATTCTTAAGTCTGTGTGAGTTAAAATAACACTAAGGATTGGAAAGAATTAAGGAAACAATTTAGAATAGTTGATCAGAAAGAGGCAATCTACATTCTTTGGTCATGTGATGAGAAGGAGAAAACTGGATTACATCGTGACGGTGAGAAAGTTGGAAGGGAGGGGAGGAGGGGCAGAGGGAGAACAAGAGAACAGATGCTGGACAGTTTGACATCACAGCATGGAGGATCATCTGTGTCAGAGTTGACTGAATGTACACAAAACAGAAGATTTTGGATAGACATGGCTAAAAACCGCACACAGCATGGACTCCAATTTTATGCACTGAATGGTGAGTACCGGCACCATTTTATGCACTTAATGGTGAGTACCGGCACCATTTTATGCACTTAATGGTGAGTACCGGCACCTAATTTTCTAGGAATAAATCCCTGAAAGAAACTAATATTTACGAAGGCAATCTTCTCACTTGTCCAGTCTCCATGACCAGAATTTTGTCACAGTCCCATACTGTGTTGATCCTGTGGGCGATCATCAAGACTGTACAGTGATGGAAGCATTCTTTGATAGTCTGCTGTACCAGAACCTCTGTGCTGGAATCTACGGACGCCGTCGCCTCATCCAAAACTAGGATCTGGTTGAGGAGAGGAATAATACATGTGATGTCAAAAACTAGGATCAGGTTTAGAAAAAAAGCAATACATGTCAGAATAAAAATTATGATTTATTTCAGAAGAGGAACAATACATTATGTTAAAACTATGATCAGGTTGAGATAAGGAATAAAATATATCACCTCAAAAACAAGCATCAGTCTGAGAAAAGGATGACTACATGAGGTGTCAAAAACTAGGATCTGATTCAGACAAGGAACAATACATATAATGATAACAACTAGGATCTGATTTTAGAAAAAGAACAATAAACATCATGTTACAAAAAAACTAGGATCTGGTTTAAGAAAAGAAACAATACGTGTCATGTTAAAAAAATATGATCTGTCACATTTAAAAGTAGGATTTGATTCAGCAGTGAATAATAATGTCATGTCAAAATCTAGCACTTGATTGAGAAAAGGAACAATATATGCAATGATTAAAATCCAGGAACTGATTTCAGAAGTGGAATGATACATGTCATGCTAAAAGATAGGATCTGGTTGAGAAGAGGAACAAAATATATAATCTCAAAAATTAGGATCTAGTTGAAAAAAGACATAATACATGTGACATCAAAAACTAGGATAGGGTTCAGAAAAGAAACAATACATGTGATGTTAAACATTAGGACTGGTTCTGAAGAAAAACAGTATATGTAATGTTAAAATCTAGGATCTGATTAAGATGTGAAACAATACATGTCATGCTAAAAACTAGGATATGGCTGAAAACAAAAACAAAATATGTCATCTTAGAAACTAGGATCAGACTGAGAATAAGAACAATACTTGTAATGATTAAAAACTGGAATCAGATTTAGAAAACAGACAATACATGCTAGGTTAAAAATTGGGATCTGATTTTAGAAACGGAATGATTATATCATGCTGAAAACTATGATCTGGCTGAGAAGAGGAACAAACTATGCCAGCTCAAAAACGTCAACGATGATCAGGAAAAGGAATAATACATTCAAAAACTAGGATCTGGTTCAGAAGAAAAACTATTTGTTATGTTGAAGACTAGGATCTGGTTGAGGAATTGAATAATATATGATATAGTAAAATCTCAGATCTGATTCAGAACAGAAACAATACATGTAATAATTAAAACTACAATGTAGCTGAGAGAAAAAAAAAGTGCAATATGTGTGATGTTAAAAACTAGGATCTGGTTGAGAAAAGGAACAAAAATATATAATGAATAAAAACTAGGATCAGAAGAGGAACAATACGTGTTATGTCAAAAACTAAGAACTAGATCATAAGAAAAAGAATACACATAATTAGCAATTGCTCACAAAATTGATTTTACCTTTGAGTTTCTGAGCAGAGTCCTCGCTAAACACAAAAGTTGTCTCTCTCCCATAGAAAAATTACGGCCATTCTCCTCCACCATTGTGTCCAGGCCATGTTCCAGAGAACGAATCTGACCATGACAACAAGGACAATAATTGTCAGACATTTATTTTGTCAATGTAGTCAAAGAAAACATTACTTTTTTTGGAGACATACGTCCTGATTCAAGAACTGATATCACAGCATTTGGGGCATTCCCATAAGCACTCTGTTCCCATGTTCAGCAGACAGTGCAGAGTTCCAACCCAACTGTACCAGTGTGGAGACGTCATCAGGTAATCACACTTGCAACTTCATAGCAAATAGGTCACCCCACATCTGCTCCGTTTCCGTGCCAAAAAACAAAAAAACCCAACCAAAATGTACATCACTGTGAACAAACTGACACAGACGTCAGTTCACACAAAGCCAACAGCATACGCACCCATTAAATGCAGAAGACAGCTGTCAGAAGTGCCAACACAAACACTCCAACACTAGAAATGCAGTTCATCATCGATGGAAGTAGCGGTTATAACAGATAAATAGATGCACAGGCAATTAAAAGCATTAGACACCAGCAGTTCTCTGACAACAGACCACCATCCATTTTCTGAATTGCCAGTATAATCCACACTAGGCACAGTAAAAAAAAGTCTTCTAACTGAAATAGGTGGCAATCCTTTGTGGAGAAGTGTGGTAATGTGTTGGCTAGAGATTAGTCTGTTGACCTGCTGGTTACGTGTTTAAATCCCACCATGTTGGATTTTAAAAACTTAGATGAGTTCCTAGGTAGACCCAGCCTAACAACAGGTAGAGAAAATATTTTGAGAAGTAAAGGCAGTCAAAGTGATATTGAAGACATCATTCAAATATAAAAGTGTGGAGATGTGTGGAGACTTGAACTCTTTCAGCACTATACAACTCACCACATGTTTCCTAGTCTTTCCAACCATACTGTTCTGTTCTTACTAATTTATATTACAGACAGATATTATATTAACCCTTTGTATCCGAATTATTAGTTTAACTACTTCTGCCCTATAGTCTTCTTCTGTTCTCTAATCCTGTAATGCCTCATGTGGGTGTGGTGATTTAAAGCAAACAGCTGAGCATTGTCTTAAGAATTGCTTAGAGCTCTCCAGTCAGGGAGGAATGATGTGGCCCAGAGCTCTCCAGTCAGGGAGGAATGATGTGGCCCAGAGCTCTCCAGTCAGGGAGAAATGATGTGGCCCAGAGCTCTCCGGTCAGAGAGAAATGATGTGGCCCAGAGCTCTCCAGTCAGGGAGGAATGATGTGGCCCAGAGCTCTCCAGTCAGGGAGGAATGATGTGGCCCAGAGCTCTCCAGTCAGGGAGAAATGATGTGGCCCAGAGCTCTCCAGTCAGGGAGAAATGATGTGGCCCAGAGCTCTCCAGTCAGGGAGAAAAGATGTGGCCCAGAGCTCTCCGGTCAGAGAGAAATGATGTGGCCCAGAGCTCTCCAGTCAGGGAGGAATGATGTGGCCCAGAGAGGGGACAAACTCCGAGGCACCAGTGAAGATCTCATGCACATCTCCCTGATGATGATCCATACTGGAACATTACAGGGATTCACGTGGATATCCTTTCGAGGTGCAAGAGCAGGAGGATATAAAAGAGCAGATTTTCTGGCTACAAAAGCAATAGCTACAGGAACACTCGTACTGGACAAGTGAGAAATTCTGAAGATTATTTATGAACAAATCTGAAAGAAGACATGAGGTTAGATGAAACAACATGTGTAAGAATGTGTGAACAAGGAATTATGTGTGGATCAGGCAAGGAGGGAATGATGAGAGGAAGAAACGAACGAGTTTATAATAAGTGTGCAATAGTAACAGTTATCATCTACTCTTTGAGACATTTGCTGCAGGAGACGGAGCACCTATGGATGTGCCTGGTATGCTATGATGTCAATTCTCAAATCAGTAACCAGTAAACCATGTAGGGGTAGACAGCACAGACAAAATACTGATCACTGATGAAGAAAATGGTTGTTAGGAATGACAGGTAAAGAGTTCCTAATTCCTGACCTAAACTGACTTTTGTAACTGTAACTCTCTGGTGGCTTGAGAACAAGATACATACACATGTCATAATTTTAGCAGACTCTGAAATCATGCTGAGAAAGGTGAAGACAAGGATGTTTGGAGAAGAGTGGCAAGCTTCACTGGAAAGGTCACATGTAGTAAGCAAACTTTGGATCTTTTCTCCAGGCCATGCCGGCGTGGTAGGTAATGAACAGGCAGACAGATTGGCTGGATCTGCACCGCTGGGTGGTGAATTGATACATGGCAAGGCAGATGTGGTCAAGGCCCTTTGGGAACAAGCAAAGAAATCAGTAGAGAAAGAAGATTATTATGGTCTGGAGAGAATGAAGCACCTGGGTGTAACCAGAGGGTCTGGCTGGCTCACTACACTCAGAGGAAAGGCAAGATGGACATATAACCAGATTGTGACCGGTACCATCAGTATTAGAACTCTGCTCTGGCTGCTGAAGATGAGGACGGAGCATGCATAAGAATGCCCAGAGTGCTGTGATGTCAATTCTTGACTCAACTCAACTAACATTTGTTTCATTTAATTTAAAAGTGTTTACTACATAGCCTATAGTTTATGCTTTAAGAATTAAAATTTTTTTTTTCTTAAGTCTATTTTGATTTTAAAAAATGGAAGAAATCAAAGTTTCCTGTGAAGGTTCTGCAGCCTACAGTTGCCCTAACAAACATTTCTTAAAGAGAGGCTATTTTCTGGAAACCCTGGAGAACAATGCAGTGGGGAGAGTCAGCGAGGTCTGGGTGTATCTTCAGGGGAAGGCAAGACAAGTAGTTAACCAGTTGGCAATGGGTACCATTATTATGGAGACTGCTGCTTGTTGAAGATGAGGACAGAGCTGCTATGGGCTTGTCCTGAATGCTGTGATGTCAAATCTTTACCCAGATGACTCAGACAAGACAAGTTCATTTGGACTTGCAGAGTTTCTGCTAGAAGTCACTCTAAGCAGAGTTTCTACTGGAAGCCACTCTAAGCAGAGTTTCTACTGGAAGCCACTCTAAACAGAGTTTCTGCTAGAAGTCACTCTAAGCAGAGTTTCTGCTAGAAGTCTCTAAGCAGAGTTTCTACTGAAGCCACTCTAAACAGATTTTAATGAATCAGAGGCGATGTAATGACCACTTCAAGGGCACACAATACACTAAATATACAAGGGATACTCACTTTCTTTTTGATGTGACATTTGTCCAGGGCGTCCCAGAATGCATTTTCTGAAGTAATTGTTCCAAATGGGTCAAGGTTGTACCTGTTTAGAGATGTTCAAAAATATTATTTACTTTATTTATAATGCCATAGTGAAAATGTATGTAAGATTACCCCATACTAAAGATGTATAACAAATGAATCTATACTGACAATCTGTAGTTTAAGAAGCTTTCATCTGAAACCCAATCAACATTTGTGGCACACACTGTCAAACACTTTCCAATATTGCAGTTTCTTACAATCAACCTTTGGAACTGTCCCAACTGGCAGATCAAATTCTTCTGCTAGCAATGACTCCCTTTGTTGTTACACCAATTATGGCGATGTTTTCTTTCTGTTGCAACAATACGTGTTTGACCCGGCCATGGAAGATCAGTTACGTGAATTCACATCCTTTCCTGCCCAGTCTGTCCCTGGTGTCTTCAACACATATTTGTTACTGTACACTGCGTGCATTCTTTGATTAATGTCCACTGATTGACATCCTTAAAATGAAAGAAACTGAAGAATTTCTCTTTGAGCATTTTGAGTCAGATTTTAGATCAGCCCGGCCATTTTCTCAATGGTCAGAAACAGAACCAATGCATTGTGAGACGATAATCACATCCTCTTTTATCCTCTGGTCAGCACTTGTCACATGACTATCATCATCATTATAAACCACTTCTGCCGTTAAGCGTCGTGGGAAGGAATAGTTCGTGATCCATTGGTATTTGATATTGCTGCGTTTTCTAAGGAGATGGTGAAACCACTGATCTGCTGTTTCTCGATGAATCTAGTACAAGGTGTCGTTCCCACAATGTGCCTGATAGTTCCATTATTCACTCGATCTCGGATGGTTAGTTTGGCTGCTTTTCTCAGGCATCTCATCTCGCAGGTGGTAATTTTGCATATATGGGCTTTAGATAGTGTCCATGTTTGGCATTGGTAGCTTAATGTTGGAATGAATTTGCTGTTTATTATCTGTCTCTTAAGGCCAAGTTTCCAATTCTTTATTGTAAGTATAGTTGTCATGTTTACAGAATATGCTCGGATATTTGGGGCCCTGTATGACATGTATGACCTGTAGGGACTGTTAAAATAGTTATTTGCGTATCCTTTACAAGACGTTGCAGAATCAACCCCCAGCATTTCTTGGCTATTGTGATTTTTTAAGGCAAATTTTACGTCCAATAGTTTGCCATTGCTTCTGAATGGTCAGCTCTCAGTACCACTGTCGACACAAATGCAAGACAAATCCACCACATGCTTGGATAGAACCTGGCACCCCGACATTTCCAAGCAAGTTCACAATGCCTAAGCCACATAATCTGACTTACATACTTTATTTTATGCATGTGGTTTTTGAGCCTGTGTTATCCTGCTCTTAGACAGAAAATTGTTGTATGCTGTTTTCTGTTGAGTTAGTTGATGGGGTCTTGTGGATGTTTTATGAACAGGTTTTAAATTAACACTTCTAACAGCTGACCACATTATGAAAGATTACACTGGGTGACTCTGTATTAGCAGTCTACATTAGATGACTCCATCTTGAAAGTTTAAAACATGCAGCAGGAGAAGAAAAACGGGACTAAAAAAAAGACTAACCTAATTGTTCCAGTAAATAACACTGGGTCCTGTACCAGAATAGAGAGCCTAGATCTCAGTATGTCCAGAGGTATGTCTCGAATGTTGATGTTGTCTATGAAGATGGAGCCAGACGCAGCCTCGGCCACTCGGAAGAGGCCCACACCGAGAGAAGATTTGCCTGTTGTAAACAACGGGGAAAATATGTCAGTACAATTTGGAGTATCAGTTGGAGTGATAAAAGATGACAGTTAAAAATTATATGCAAGTTTGTATACAAATAGGCAGATTGATACATGAATGAGTATGTGTATAGTATATACACACACACATGCACGCACACACACACACATAAATATATATTATTATAAAACTTAGCACATACTGGCCTTCATTTTTGTCTTGTCTAAATTTTTTGTTTATTTTTTAGTTTAACTTGAAAAATTTCCCCCTCTCTTTATGTGTGTGTATAAATGTGTGTGTAAATAAATAATAAAGACGATATAATATATATATATTGTCAGACACCTTTTATAGGTGTGACACAAGTGCAATTGTTATTTGTGCCAGGTGTACCCACACTTCCATAATATGTAAACGCTGATGACCTTGTTCCAGTTCTTAAATAATGTTTATTCAAGAACTCATGATAATTGCAAAGTTAGTATGGCTTCCACACAACGTTATCGACTACTGAGTAGCCACAGATTTTATTCTTTGGTTCACAAGCACACTAATCTCAGGTAGTCACTGGCTAAATACATCAACAGTACGCTGGTATAGCTGATCACAAACTCACCCTCGCAATATGAACAAAGTCATGAGAGGCTAGCTGATGCCTCTATAGCAATAATTACGTATCCTCCTGGTTACCACACTTAACTTTATAATTCGGCTATACAACAGAAAACACTTGTCACCAGTATGAATAACCACTACTGTTCTGTTCACAGTTTTAAATCCAGTCCATTCCAAGCGAAAACAATTCGTACCTTTTGAAAGGGCCCCAAACAAACACATCCGTTCACTGGACTGTCCAACTACTAACTGCCCGTGTGTCGCTCTACCTGTTTGTCCAGTCCCCCTGTAACCTCCCCACTCAGTTACCTGTATCGCCGTGCCGGTCTACACACAACCCGTCTGACCAGTAATTGACCTGTCTGCTGTTATGAGTCAGTCTAGTCGTTGTTTGTCTTTATCTCACAGTGTGTTGTAAAGTTGACTCATGACATATATATATATATATATATATATATATATATATATATATATATATATATATATATATATATATATATATATATATATATATATATATATATATATATATATATATGGAACATAGTAATATAATTAACAGATGGACAGATTATATAGGGGAATTGTATGATGATAATAGACCAGATGTAGAACTGCAGACCAACAATGATGGTCCACCAATAATGACTGCAGAAGTCGAGGATGCAATACATCATATGAAGAAAGGAAAAGCACCCGGGCCAGACAACATCTCACTGGAAGAAATCGAGGCACTGGGAGATTTTGGAATTGAAAGTGGAAGAATGGGCCTCAGTTTGAAAAATGGGAAGACAGAAGTAATGGTGGTATCAAAGAAACGAATTATTCCTAAGTGTGTAATAAAAGTTGATGGTGTTATTTTAGGACAAGTACAGAAATTTAAGTATCTGGGCACATGGATAACATCAGATGGAAGATGCATAACTGAGATAAACAGAATATGACAGGCAAAAACTGCATTTTATAAAATGAAAAACATCTTGTGCAAAATATCCTTGTCATTGAGAGTTAGAAAAAGAATTCTTGCTTGCTACATACATCCAGTTTTAACATATGGCTGTGAATCCTGGACAATCGGTAGGCAGGCCAAACAATTTCTAGAGGCCTCAGAGATGTGGTTTTACAGAAGAATGCTTAGAATACCTTGGACAGTCAAAAAGAGCAACCAAGAGGTTTTGAAAGAGGCGGGAGCCCGAAGACAACTTATCACAGACATCAGAAGGAGACAGTCATTATTTTTTGGCCATGTTATGAAAAGAGGGAAGATAGAACATGTTGTGACCACTGGAAAGATCTGTGGAAGGAGAGATAGAGGAAGACAATGAGAGAAGATGCTTGACAGTCTTGCTGCATGGCATGGAGGTGTGTCGGCACATGAACTGATACATGCTGCAGGAGATCGCAGATTATGGAGAGGCATGATCGCCCACGCCAGTCGGCAAGGCACCTGATGATGATTATATATATATATATATATATATATATATATTATATATATATATATATATATATATATATATATATATATATATATATATATATATATATATATATATATATATATATATATATATATATATATATATTATATATATATATATATATATATAAAGAGAGAGAGAGAGGTATCAGAGAGAGGATGAAAATATGTATATATATATAAAGAGGGAGAGACAGAGGGGTACGGGACACATATATACAAAAATCTGACGGAAGGACATGTCCTTTAGTGTTTCTCCAACTTCCACTAGAAAATGTTTAAACAGAAATAAAATTACAACTGAAAACAAGTAACTTGGTTTTAAAACTTTATAATTTAGAGTTCCAAATCTTGTCTAGGTTTTTCAACAGATTATGTTTCTAAGAAATGATTCATCAGTGTCTAAAACATATTTCTAGTTTCTATGCAAGATTTCTACAATTTCAAAGAAATAGTTCTAGTTTCTAAGAAATGATTCAACAGTGTCTAAGAAATATTTCTAGTTTCTATAAAATATTTCTAGTTTCTAAGAAATATTTCTAGTTTCTAAGAAATTATTCAACAATGTCTAAGAAATATTTATAGTTTCTATGAAATATTTCTAGTTTCTATGAAATATTTCTAAGAAATATTTATAGCTTCTATGAAATATTTCAACAGTTTCTAAGAAATATTTATAGTTTCTATGAAATATTTCAACAGTTTCTAAGAAATGATTTAACAGTGTCTAAGAAATACTTATAGTTTTTATGAAATATTTGTAAGAAATATTTATAGTTTCTATTAAATATTTCTAAGAAATATTTAGTTTCTATGAAATATTTCAACAGTTTCTAAGAAATATTTCTAGTTTCTTTGAAATATATCTTTAATTTCTAAGAAATATTTATAGTTTCTACCAAATATATCTTCAATTTCTAAGAAATATTTCTAGTTTCTATTAAATTTTTCAACAGCTTCTAAGAAATATTTCTAGTTTCTAAGAAATGATACTAAGCAACAAATAGAAACAAATTACCTGAACCAGAGTTACCCACAATGCCGATCTTCTCCTGAGCTTTAATGTTGAGTGTGATGCCCTTGATGACCGGAGGCTGTGTGTCGTTGTATCGCATTTTGTAATGTTTAAACTTAATAGTGCCCTCACTGGGCCAGGTGTCCGGCGGGATAACTGGGTTACTGACCGCACATCCTTCTGGATGAAGAGTCTGGACAAGGCCAAATAGATAAAAATGACACATGGTAAAGACTAGAGTTTTCTTCTTTCTTCTTTCTTTCTTCTGCGGGAGCCGTGTTAGCCCAGCCGATAGGAGGCTTGCTTTCAAATCCAGCTGCGACTTGCTGCAGCCATGGTTGGTGTTCGATACCGGGCGCTTCCCAGGGTTCACTCAGCCTCTAGGACATGGGTACCAGAGTGACACTCTGGGGTACATGGAGGAACGTCGCTGTTGCTACAGAGTTACGTGCTAACGGCGACACAGGTGGACAGTTTCTTATCAGCTGTCTGTACTGGTGGCAGAGCACTTATGGTTTATAACCGTGTGCAATGACGCTGGTTCACATCTCCCAACCTTACCTTTTTTTTTCTTCTTTGTCTTTTTCTTCTTCTTCTTCTGCTTCTTCTTTGTGTTCACTCCGGTGGAAAGTTCTAGGTGTTCATCCATGTCTAGAAGTTAGTCGTGTTCTAGAACCTGAGTGTTGCATGCACCTCCATGTGACAGATCCGGCATATTTGTAGGCAGACTTCACCAGAAATATATTTTGTTGTTGATGGAAGTAGTCAGTCATGATATGGTTGCTATACACAGGTAAAATTATTACATAAGGTCGTAATGTATTTCACCAGCCCACACATTAACTGGCTACTGGCCATATTGAATTTGAATACTAGTTACCATGGCTCCGCTGCTATGCAAATACAGGGTATTTAAAATGTCCAAACAGTGATAATACTAAGTATTGTAAGAGGAATAAATCTAGGGAGAAAACACAAATCATTTAAAACTAATATCTTTTAAGGGTGTATATAGTCTGTGATGAGATGATATTCAAATATTTCCTGACTGTCTGTATGAGGGTTATTGACATTTTTTATTGGCTGTGGTAGTTGGTTCTGCAGAAAAACTGCAGAGCACGCCAAGTTTGTTTTGGATAGGTTTAGGGATATGAAGTTGAATGCTGAATTAAGAATCGACATCATAGCATTTAGGACACTTCCATAAGCACTCAATCCCCATCTTCAGTGAAGAGTTCCAACTCTGATGGTACCAGTAACTGTCTGATTGTATATCCATCTTGCCTTTTCTTTTGAATGTTGAGAGTTAGTCGGATCCCCTGGTAACTACTCACAGCACCATTCTCCTCAGACCATAATGATCTATCTGTGTCTCCACACTGTTCGCTCGCTTCCAAAGGGCCCTTACAACACCTAGCTTGTCATACATCAATTAATCACCAAGTGGTGCAGAACTAGCCAGTCTATCTGCCTGCTCATTTCCCAACACACCTGTATATCCTGGAGAAAATATCCAAAGGATGCTAACTACCTGGGACCTCTAAAGTGATGATTGTCACTCCGCATGGTCCTTGCTTGTTTCCACCTCTCTCAACATGCTCTGTGAGTCAGTTACAATCACGGCATGTGTGTACAGCTGATTCTCAAGCCAACGGAAGGCAGCAGTGACTGCCTCCACCTCCATTCTCAAACTAAACATTGTGATATCATATGGGAGGCTTCGTTGCACTAAGCAACGTCCATTCACTTTTGCTATTTTGCTATTTGTCTGCCCCTGACATCATCTAGGTGGGAACTGTTGGGATATGAAGTATATGGAGCCATTTATTATTGTCTTCCTGTATATATTTCAACAACAGCCAAATATATTTTTGGATACGTTTTTGTGAATAAGTTTTGCTTTATCGAAAAATAGGCGTGTATGGAAAGGTGATAGTGTGAGACTTTTATAAGGTTTCCATAATTGTTATTTTATCAAGCGTACAGATCTTCTCTGATGCACCTGAAGTGGCTTAATGATTGAATTGCAGACATAAAGAGCATGCTAAAAATAAAAATTGCTGAATGTTATTTAATATAATCAACCCTACTGTATGGCACACATGCGTGGACAATGAGAAAGCAATTAGAAAGTCAAACTGAAGTTTCTGAGGTAATGAATATACAGAACGAAAGGTTGCGTTTCATGAAAACAAAAGCAATACATATGATTCTATGAAAAGAGAGCTGATGAAAGAAATTAGAACACACACAGGTGAAACATTTTGGCCTCATTAAAAGACACAACACTTTTATAAAAACCATCATTATCATCATGTAGCAATTTCTTTGCAGAAGGTCGCTATCATCCTGGTCTGCCTGAGAGAAACTTGGTCTTTCACCAGACGTCCCACATCATGTACTTTCCTATCCAAGGAGTCACTTATATCCTGTGCCCATCTTTGTGTTGGTTGACCTCTGCCCCTAATTCCTGGTACCCTGCCTTCTACTATTATTTTTTCAATCCAGCTTTGTGCTTGATAAAAATACTAGAGGAAAGACTTGCTAGAAATAGCAATGACACAAAATGTAATCAAATTATCATTTAACCCACCAGGAGACTAAGACATTAATACAATCTAGTATCTAAGAAAGGTGGCAGGATACCCACACTAAATTTTCTCCCCAAGTTTTGCTTCATACCTCTCTAGGAAAAAAAATAACAACTGACCTCAACATAATCCTGAATTCTCTGCACAGAAGTTAACCTGGAAACTGATTCCATTGAGTGCCGCAGGGTGTACTGCACAAAACTGGTTATCTGCAAACAGAAAATAGGAATTCTGAATTCAGAACTTACTTGTATAGCAGACAAGCAATTTACAATGCATTTAAAGAAATTACTTATACAGCATCGACACAATTTTACAATGTACTTGAGAAATTGCCTAAATAGCAAACAAGCAATTTTACACTGCATTTCAGTTCAGAAATTATTTGTACACAGGAAAAGCAATTCTACAAAGCATTTAAGAAATTACTTGTTTAGCAGACAAACATAGTGTGATGCATAAAAATATTACTTGCATGACAAGCAATCTCACAACATTTCACAACTTACTTGTATAGCAAACGACAGCGCCATGCCTGCCTGAGAACTGTTCTCAGAATCGAGTGTAAACACAATCAGAAATCCAGTTGCCCCTGTGACAACAATCGTCATGCAGTCTAGAAACACAGCCAGCCAGCGGTTGGCAGCATAGAAAAGGAAAAATGGCACACTGTTTCGATCTAACAGTTCACAGAATCTGAAAAGGCACAATGAAAAGGATACAAACCTTTTTTTCAAAGGGTCATAAATTTGGCACACAGGCCTGTCTTACATTTGTCCTTCCAAACACCCATCTTTCACACAGCAATTGTATTTTATCAATAAAGCTTGTCACGTTGATATAACAATATACATAATATGAATATCAGGGAAAAACACAAAAAGTTGGGGGGGGGGGGGGGGTAGTAAATGCATGCACACACGCACATTCACTCACTCACTTACTTCTCACTCAGTTACACAAACACAAATTTAAAAAAACATACTTGTGGTAAAATCGCTGGCCCTGGTTGAAGGAATGTATTGTAGCGATGCCTTCGACGCAGGCAGTCAGGTGGCTGAGGTAAGGGGCCCTGGTGATGTTGTCCACAAATTTCAGCTGTTGCAAGACTGGGGAGAACATGTAAGCTAGGAGCCCAAATGTGGCCACCAGGGGGATGATGGCCAGAAGGTCCCAAGGGAAGACAACTGAGATCAGAACAAGGGCAGATAACACCATAAACACATTCTGTAGGGACAGCTCACAGTTGGCAGGCAGGCGGACATCAACTGGAATAAATTACAATAGATAAGTATTAAATCTTTCAGAACTAAGCCACTTATAAGACGTTTCTTAATTTCTCTTTACATGATACAATTCACACTTGGAACACATCGCAGACCGATTGCTCTGCAGAAATATGAATCGACCATCATACGTTCGGTGCACTATGGTGTGAAAATAGTTACTAGTACTTATAAACCCACTTAACTCTCATTCATTCATTCACATTCATTCATTCATTCATTTCTTCATTCATTCATTCACGTTCATTCATTCATTCATTCATTCATTCATTCATTGCCCTTTTGTGCCATTATATGTCACATAGGGTTCACAATCTAATCCTTCATTCCGTTTATTATCTCCCCGTGTTGGTTTCGGGGCCCCATTGTGGGGAAAACAAGAATAGACTTGCTGCCTACCCAAAAGCATGTCGTAAGAGTGGACTAACTGGGAAGCTTGTACCTTTGAAGTTGGAGTGCATCTGAGAGGCAAGGAACCAACAGTCTGCATTCATGTGAATCAGATCTGTAAAACTGATGCACATGCAACACTCAGATTTTGGAGCAGGACTATAGTCCAGAAGTAGATGAACAACCAGAATTTTCTGCCAGAATGTACAGATGGCGAACGTGAAGAAGAAAAAGTAGCAATTCAATATCCTGGATGGAGTCCAGAGGAGCACCTCGGGCTCCTCTCATCAAAGTTCACTTTATGGTTTCTCTTAGACATCCTTGTTTACTTGACCACTCTATTCTTCATATCAGAGCCTGCCTGCTGATTCTCTGTTTGACTCCTCTCAGGATGGGACCAGTATAGCTCCATCTTCTCTGTCTGTTATAAATGTTGATACTAGTGGTTGCCCAGACATTTCTCTTATTGGTTCACAGTTTCATGAGACTGATGCAGAGGGGGAGTGATGAGAGGTTCTGGCAGATGCTCAAGACTCAGAGGAAAGGCAAGACTACTCGCACCTTTAGTATTGGAACTCTTCGCTAGCTGCTGAGGATGGGGACAGAGTGCTTATGGGAATGCCTCGAGTGCTGTGATGTCGGTTCTTGAATCAAATCAAATCGCAACAATTCTTGGCTATCAAAACCAGGGTGTTTTTGTATTTCTACGTTTGTTGGCAGTCGTTAACACATATTACTGAAACATTTCGCTGTTTCCATACTCCCGAACCGTTGCACAGGTAGCAGACCATTAAAATAATCATGCAAGTGAAAGGTGAGAAGACAAGAAAAGAGGCAACGGTTAAACCATTCACAATAAGGAAAACATGACTTCCCCCACAACATAGGAGAGGTCCAGCGACCTAATGAGGCATGAATGGCAAGGGAAGTTACTATAATCCTGGAAATCTTGATAGATGAAAAACAAAACAATGAAGAGTCAACTTACTTTCATCCAGGTCCGCAGTGAATCGATTGAGAATGATGCCTGTAGGAGTGACATCAAAGAACTTCATTGGGCTCTTGAGGGTCTTCTCTATCAAGTTCTTATGCAGGTAACTTGAGGCCCGCAGCAAAAACTGAGAGGATCATGGGAAACAAAATGAGTACAAGTTATGATTGGTTTTTAAAAAAAAGCCCGCAGTAAAAACTGACAGGATCATGGGAAACAAAATGGGTACAAGTTACGATTGGTTTTAAAAAAAAGTCCGCAGCAAAAACTGAGGTGATCATGGGAAACAAAATGAGTACAAGTTATGATTGGTTAAACAAAAAAGGCACACATTTAATGCAGGTGTATGATGTTGTGCATGATGTTGTGTATGATGTTGTGCATGATGTTGTGCATGATGTTGTGCATGATGTTGTGCATGATGTTGTGCATGATGTTGTGTATGATGTTGTGTATGATGTTGTGTATGATGTTGTGTATGATGCTGTGTATGATTTTGTGTATGATGTTGTGTATGATGTTGTGTATGATGTTGTGTATGATGTTGTGTATGATGTTGTGCATGATGTTGTGTATGATTTTGTGTATGATGTTGCATATGATGATGTGTATGATGTTGTGTATGATGTTGTGTATGATGATGTGCATGATGTTGTGTATGATTTTGCGTATGATGTTGTGTATGATGTTGTGTATGATGTTGTGTATGATGTTGTGTATGATGTTGAGACTGCAGTTTGCATCAATTTTTTGTTGTTGTTACATCAGTGACACACATTCTGGGTGGTTCTCACTGACACTGGCTACTCTACGCCTTAGAACAGGACACAGACAACTTCGCAGCCACATGTACACACAATTTAAAATCTGTGAATCCACCATATGCACATGTGTACTGGCACCTGAGACAACAGATCATGTCCTCCAAGACTGTCCCAAATACAACATATCAAGGCTAAACTTTTGGTCAAGAGAAACATCAGTTCAAGTCAAACTTTACGGGTCGCTGAGTGAATATCAAAAGACGGTGAAATAAATACTAGAGACAACATTACAGGTATAGATAATTTATTTCAAGTGAACGAAAGAAGAAGAAGAACTGGCATAAGAATGGAGAAATTATGTAGTTGTCCATTTGCGTTAAAGTCGAAACTGCGATTAACAACTAACATCTTTTTGTTTTTTAAACTTGGATACCAATCAGGGATGAAAAAGGTCAGAGGTCAGGTGTCTAGCCAAAGTCTGTTTCATACTTTCGTTTTCCCTGTTCACAAACAGTCAAAACATTCCAGTAGGCTATATGTTAGACATATTTTTCATCCTTCATGAACCCAATAACACATGAGTGATGAGTGATATAGGTCCTCCTACACTTCTCTTATCTGGGAAGCTAGCTTTTTGACCACGTTTGTATGCCTTATAGGATGACCTTATTTTATAATCACTCAAACTATACACCTCTCCTCCCTCCCACCACCCATAAATTGTACTAGGTCTGCCTGGTCAGAGGCGAAGCTGCTGCACTTAAGCCAGTCCACCCAGAAAAATAAAGACTTTTGCTAACTATATCTTTCCTCATAATTTCAAACATATATATATATATATATATATATATATATATATATATATATATATATATATATATATATATATATATATATATGTTTGAAATTATGAGGAAAGATATAGTTAGCAAAAGTCTTTATTTTTTTTATATATATATATATATATATATATATATATATATATATATATAATTAAACTTTCTATCTGTTTTTTCTACTCTCTTCTTATGTCTGCCTCTCTTTGTATGACCATTTCTCTAACTGTTTGTCTCTCTTTCTATCTCTCCCTCTGTGACTATTTCTGTCTCACTATTAGTCTTTCCCTTTCTCTATCTGACTTTTTACCTACATAATTTGCCTGTATGTCTGCCTCTCTCTGTCAGTCATTCTCAATTTGTCCATTTCATTCATTATCTGTTCCTTTCTCTTGATTCATCTGTCTTATCATGTCTGTCTGTCTCTCTTTTTTTCTATATCTGTCTCTCTTATCTCTTTCTTGCTACATGGCTGTCTATTTATATTTATCAGTACTACTGCATCTATCAGAGTGAGGTTGGTAGAGATACCTCCATCCCCACTATCAAAGCCCTATCTCTGTCTCTATGGGGACTGTGATGCAAAGCTCCACTTTCCCTCTGAAAGCTGGAATTAAGCAAAAATGTGTCCTCCACAAGTTTAAGGTATTTTATTGCCAACAGACTCCAAAACTCAGAGAATAACAGACAAGATACAAGACAAACTCAGGACCCACCTTGGCAAAAATGAAAGACCTTGCAACAAGAAGGACCAGCATGGCTATTAGAAGGAGGCCATAAATGGCAGCATACGTGTTTCTGTCCGGGTTGTTGACAACACTGTTCAACATCTCAATATCCTGTTTGATGCTACTGTTTGCGGTCACATTAGATGTCTGAAATGTAAACAATTTCCATAAAAGCATCTTATTGGACAACATACTAGGGTAAATACACAGAGAATTACATTTATCATTAAATATGAAAGAATTAGGAAATGTCAACAAACCTGGAACATTCCTGCAGCTGTGCGTCTCCTCCTTTGGTAGCCAGAGTTTTGATGCTGATGGTGCTACTGACAACCACATAGCCAGAGTTTTGATGCTGATGGCCCTACTGACAACCACATAGCCAGAGTTTTGATGCTGATGGTGCTACTGACAACCACATAGCCAGAGTTTGATGCTGATGGTGCTACTGACAACCACATAGCCAGAGTTTTGATGCTGATGGTGCTACTGACAACCACATAGCCAGAGTTTTGATGCTGATGGTGCTACTGACAACCACATAGCCAGAGTTTTGATGCTGATGGTGCTACTGACAACCACATAGCCAGAGTTTTGATGCTGATGGCCCTACTGACAACCACATAGCCAGAGTTTTGATGCTGATGGTGCTACTGACAACTACATAGCCACAGTTTTGATACTGATGGTGCTACTGACAACCACATAGCCAGAGTTTTGATACTGATGGTGCTACTGACAACCACATAGCCAGAGTTTTGATGCTGATGGCCCTACTGACAACCACATAGCCAGAGTTTTGATGCTGATGGCCCTACTGAATAAAACCACCTTTTTTTTAAAACTCCTCATTGTGGTGTAGTATATTTTCTTCGCCTCTCAACCGATGAAAGTTGTTTAGTTCTCTCCCAAAGCTCAGCATTAGTGATTCTATCATACCTTTCAATTCCCTGTGTTTTGCACAGGCATCAGTTAATGAATGTTTGTAGTTTATTATTAACTGCCTTAGTTATTCATGTTTCTGCTTCACACGACAGTAGTGATCTTATATTAGAATTAACCATTTTGAGCACCTCTTGCCTTTTGTATTTGTATTTTAATATCTCTATCAGTTCCCCCATCTTTATCAACATTACTGCCCAAGTAGATGTGCAACTCCCATCTTGGAGTGGGATAACATTAAGAGAAACCACATTACTAATTGCCTGATTTATTCTCATTATCTTTCTGTCTTTCCTTTATGGATTTTCAGACCTAGCTGCTGTGATCTTGCATCAATTATATTTAATATATCTTGCATCTGATTCCGTGAGTGGGACAGAAAAGAAAATTATCAGCGAAGTAAGATCATGAGGCTGTTTTGTAGGGGTCCAATGAATTCCATTCTTGATAGTCATCTTTGTGCTTCATGGCCTTCGATTTCATAGAACACCTAAGAATAAAATGGTTTGGTCATCTGAACAGAATGGAACCAAATCAGCCACAGCAAGGCTATTTAACTCGGTTTACTCAAGGGCCAAAATGCTGCAAAATGGGGATCATGACAGGCCAGAGAACTGAGCCCCAGCATAGAAATATCGCTAATACAGCACAACTGGCGTGTGATCCGTCGGCCATTTGCTAGGCCTGTATGGGTTAAATGTGGCTTATGGGTCACCAGATAAATAGTTCTGACTACAGCACACTACAAACGACCAGCAGGCTACAGGGAAAGAGGCCAGCCAAGCAAGAGATGGGTGGATGGAGTAAAAGAGACACTACAGAAACAGGATATGATATTAACACGAGTAACGTAACTAGCAAAAGACAGGAAACTATATCTAACTCCTCTCTTCGACGCTTTATGGCAGCATAAGCAGTAGGACGAAAAAAGAAGACATGTTGACGTTGTATTTCATCAAGCAAGATACAATAAAATATGCAAGGTAATAAATTGTGCAATTTATTGTTTATGTACATATTATTTAAATTATATTGTAAACAATCAAGAAAAAAAGATTTGACACACTCACACACACTCACACACAAAGGAAAAACTGGCAATTTCACAAAGCCACAACCAGCCCTTACCATTTTACCAGCGCCCTGGTTCAACCAGTATGCCAGATAACCAGTTGTCACAGACTGGATAGAAATGCTGACAAAGTAACTGACCAGCAGAAACAAAAAAACAGCCATGCCACCCATAGCTTGGATGTAAGTCCAGTAGGTTCGTCCTCTGATATGGCAGTTTGGACTTTTGTGAGACATCACCAGATCCTCCAGATCCACTGGAGAAAAATAACAATCTTGAAGAAACAACAAAATTCATAATCTGTTGAAATGACCTCTAATTATTGACATCATAAGGGCTGATTATCCATCAGAACATCCTTCACAGAACGTCATTCTCGTCACAGCCCGCTTGCAAGTCTCTCTTTCTCTAACCATTTATCCAGCCCTCTGTGCTTTCATAGCCAGAGTATCTTTAATATCTTTAATATCTTGTATGCACCTTCACTGAGGTCGACTTCTGCCTCGTTTTCCGGAAACTGCTGCATTACAACTTTTTTACAGGCCACCATTACATTTAACATGACAAAATTACATGAGATTTTTGGATAGGATGCTGTTTATGAGTCAGTTTTCCTTGATGCTGAGATCATGTTGGATGTTGAGGAAGAGAGTTCAGTTGAGTCAAGAATTGACATCACAGCACTCAGGGCATTCCCATGCATGCTCCGACCTCATCTTCAGCAGCCAGCACAGAGTTCCGATACTGATGGTACCGGTCACAATCTGGTTATATGTCCGTCTTGCCTTTCCTTTGAGTGTAGTGAGCCGGCCAGACCCTCTGGTTACATCCAGGGGTCTCATTCTCTCCAGATGTTGATGACAAAAACTGTGCACACAAGAAGCTGAATGAAAGCAGACAATGAAGATAGTGGAGAGATAATGAACAGGCAGAATTACAAACACGTGGCGCCACCAACTGGAAAAAAAAGAAGTCCAGTCTCATAAATGAATGCAAGCGAGTGATTTCTGCAACAATGAGCTCAAGAGCTCAGAATGATAAAGAAAAGAAGAAGAAGAAACTCATAAAATCTCTTAGAAGATGTTATATATGCTTTTGTTAGGCATGTGAAGATTATTTTTTTTTAATTTTTTATTTATTTTTAAAGGACTGTTTTTATAATATAAGGACCTCAGAGTACAGTGCTAGACATATGTGTTTATAGGCCAGTCAAAACTTATCATCCTGGCAGTTTCACATCCCAGAAAATATCTGCTAGTCATTTTTTAGTTGTATCAACCTGGAATCCCAGGAACAACCATCAGCGTCTGCTTCAACACAGGCAGTCAGGCAATCAGGCAGTCAGGTAATCACAGATTCAGCTTTACAGTAAACTTGTTTCATCCACAAGGCCCAACAACTCTGCAGGCAAACCAATGCCTGCCACCAATAACCCCTTAAATGCTTCGCAGCCAGGTGTACACTAAACTTAAATCGGCGAATCAGCCATGTGCACATGTGGACTGGCACCTGAGACAACAGATCATGTCCTCCAAGACTGTCCCAAATAAAACATTTCAAGGCAAAACTTTTGGCCAAGAGAAACAACGGTGCAAGCCAAACTTTATGGCTCACTGAGTGAATTACAAAAGGTAGTGAAGCTCATACTAGAGACACAATTGCAGATATAGATAATCTATTTCAAGCGAACGAAAGAAGAAGACAAAGTAATCCTGTCACTTCCATAGTTGCACCCTTTCTGCGCCAACAAAAACCACACAGAATGTCCATCAGTCTCATTTGAAAAACAGTTGACACAGACTGCAGTCTTAGCAAATCCAGCAGCATATACATGCATTAAATGCATAAAGCAGAAGTGCCAACACAAACAGTCTGACACAATAAATGCAGTTCACCATCGATGAAAGCAGCAGTGACAACAGATCAATAGTTGCACACACAATTAATCACATGAGGCATCATAAGTTCTCTGGCAACAGGCCACTCCCCACTTTCTGAATCTCCAGTTTACAACATAAAAGGTAAAGGTAAAGTCAGGAAATGTGAACCAGCGTCATTGCATATGGTTATAAACCATAAGTGCTCTGCCACCAGCTGTTAAGAAATTGTCCGCCTGAGTTGCCGTCCGCACATAACTCCATAGCTACAGTGACGTTCCTCCATTTACCTCAGAGTGTCAACTCTAGTACCCATTTTCTAAAGGCTGGGTGAACCCCCAGGAACCGCCCGGTTTCGAACACAGACCATGGGCTGCAGCGAGTTGCAGCTGGATTTGAAAGTGAGTCTCCTATCGACTGCGCTAATGTGGCCCGAGTTTACAACATAAAAACACATTGGGAACAGTAGAAAAGCATTCCAAATGAAATCTGCAGCTCACATTGTCATGCCATGCACTCATCTCTGTAAATGGGTGACAGAACTATATCCTTTCAGTCTACATATGGAGGAAAATGCAAGAACTCATTACTGTCTGAAGTACAATATGCCACAACTAAAAATAATAAACCAGCCTATCTGCCATTTTGACCCCAAGATCTGAACCCAAGATCTTCATCTCAAAGGCAAACATCTAGCCACTGTGCCACCAACATGTTCTAGAATAAGGATTCAATCAACCACACATAATTTCTGTAAAAATTGTTTTTTTTTTATAGTTTTGATGTAAAAATGTCCCTCTTGAATGCTTTCCATTTTCCCCAAGTTCATTGTACTGGTTGTATGTGTTGAAAATGATGGTTGGCACACCATGTTGTGGTTCATAGCTAGGCTGCAACATCTGCACTTTTTGACCCCAAACATTTGATTTCAGTAAACTTGTAATTAGTTGCCTTTGTGACATGCTTGGCAGACAACAACAGATCTTTTCTTTCATACAACACAGAACCATGAATCCCACAAGGGAAATGAGATGAACAAACTGCCAGCTTACCATTCTCATACTCGGCACAGATGCTGTTGGACGACACAACACTGAACTGGTTCTGAACTTGCGTGGGCATGGAATAACTCATCTGATGGTAGAGGCTTCTCTTTGACACTCTAGAAAACCCCAGCCGAGACACGCTGTGCACTGAAGAGGAGAAAATTGTGTCTTGCATCACAACAATTATGAATTTTTTTTTAAAATGACATTGTAAAATTTATGTTCACCAGCTTGTAACTCTGGTGGAAAGTTCTGGTTGTTCATCCACTCTTGGACACATATCAGTTTCATTTGTGTCAGGACACGCAGGCGTGCAAGGAAATGAGCAAGTTGACAGGCTTGCAGGTAAAGCTACTAAGGAAGGCGGACAAGCCATAGACCATGCTGGTATTCTAAATGCTCTACAAGAAGTAAGATGTTTGGGAGAACCAAGTCATGGCTGTGAATCTGCAGCAAAGACCAGACTGCAAGGACAACATGTTAAAAGGGTGTGTGGCCAGAGAAGAGCACTTGCTCTCTTGCCCTCAACCTTTCTGTAACAGGCTGGAAACTTAAAATTCAGCAGCCTGAAGATCTTGGATTTATTCTGGTTTGAAAATGGCCAAAAGACCACCGGAACAACTTTTAGGTTAAGACGATAACGCGGAAAAAGTCTGGCCCACCGGGTATAAAAGACTTTGTTTAGTTTTTCAGTGTCCTATTTGACTTCCGGACACTCCCTGGGTAGACATATCTAGCTGTTGGGCTTTGCACAATGAGCCAGTCAGCAGGTATGGCGACCTCAGGAAGAGGCCGTGGTCAGACTGTTTTTGCAGGCGGTGGTACGTTCATTTGGTTAAGTTTGATGATTCATGTTTTAGATTCTGGTCGAGCATGTTGTTATTAATGTCGTTATTTGTGGACCACGCTGATGTGACGTCAAGTAAAATTTGTGTTTAATGTAGTAATCATAATTTTAGTTGTTTTCCTTCAGCTTAGGACTTGTAGTTAGTGTGCCTAGTTTAGTTTATTTGTTATTTGGCTGATCTAGACTTTACACAGAAGATCTCGTGTCTGGACTAGAATATTTCTGTTTCTAGTCCCCGCCTAACAAACTATTTTTCTTTATTTTTTCTTGGTACTAAGGGCTTTCCCGTTCTAGAACATTTCCCTTCAGTATGCTTTTTAAAAGAGTATTATGAATAAGAAACCAACACAGAACTGGTGTCGTAAGCTGCTTCAAGCTGTGAGATTTACTAAGGAGGGGGATCCGAGCACTTATGGACTGAAAGGTTTGATATGTAATGAAGATAATCTGGCAACTAACTACTAACTAACTAAGCCCTGGTGTAGACAATAATGGCTATGATTGCTGATACTGATGCAGATTTTTATAATGTGGATGATGATTATGGTGTAGATAATGAAGAGGATAATTTTGGTAAGGTTGCTGATAACATTACTGATAATGATACTTGATGTTGCTGAAAAGGATGATGATGATGTTCTTTTTCTTCTTAGCATTCATACTCAGTTAACTCTGATGTAAAATTCTGGTTGTTTGTCCACATCTGGACTTTGGTCTTATTCCAGAGCGAAAATGGCGATGATGCGGACAATTAATTAAAATAATTATGATAAGTGTTCTTACAATCATTGATTTTATCCTGCTGCATCATTCGCTCCTTGAGAATCCGATCATACTTGTTGTTGTATAGCATGAAGAGTTCTTTGTACGGACTGTCCGAGTTCATCAGTTCAGAATGGCTGCCAAATGACACTATGTGACCCTCATGCATGTATATGACCTTGTCACATTTGGGTAAATACTGGAGGGGCAAAAAGTATTCTCATATTTAGCCAACGTAAGTAGTCATTAAAAAAAATAATCACAGTTTCAATACTCAAGAATTGTCACCCCTGCAGTGCTCCCCCCAGCAGTGCTTCCCCCTGCAGTGCTTCCCCCTGCAGTGCTTCCCCCTGCATTGCTTTCCCCTGCAGTGCTTTCCCCTGCAGTGCTTCCCCCAGCAGTGCTTTCCCCTGCAGTGCTTCCCCCTGCAGTGCTTCCCCCTGCAGTGCTTCCCCCTGCAGTGCTTCCCCCAGCAGTGCTTCCCCCTGCAGTGCTTCCCCCTGCAGTGCTTCCCCCTGCAGTGCTTCCCCCTGCAGTGCTTCCCCCTGCAGTGCTTCCACCTGCAGTACTTATTACTTGTGCATAGGCAACTGCAGTACCTGAAATAGAATCACTACAACACAGCCTCCCACAAACATTATATACGCCAAGCGAACACTAAACAAAGCCATATCATAGCACCCCCGCAACACAGGAGATGTCCTGTAATCCGACAAGACATGAATGGCGAGGAAAGTCACTCATCTTTATTGGGACGAAACGTAAAATGAACAGTTGCTTTATATCCTTCTTTCTCATGGTGTTTTTTTATCTTATCTGCTTCTGATTTAGATATTTATTTGTTAAATAGTAAATTAAAAAATGTGTAGGACATAATACGACTAAGTAGCACGCAATCTTGGACCCAAAGAGTTAATAATGAATGCTGAAGAAGGAGGAGAAGGAGGAGGAAGAAGAGGTAAAGGGCAAAGAGATGAAGCAGGAAGAATAATAATAATAAGATGATGATAAAATAAGTGTTTGAGTGAGACTAACTGGACAGGCCTCAGGCACGCAACCATGACCACCAGGTGGAGAGAGCTGATCAGACAGTCAACAGAAACTGGTAACCCAACGACATGCAGTGTTATGGGATGATAATGATGATATTGATGATGATGAAGAGTTAAATGCCTTCACTTTTTCATTTCTAAACAAGGCACCGTGTATACTTGATATGATACATGTGCATCAGTCAACTCGTTTTCAATATTTGTACATCTTGAGTTTAGTCAGGCAAACTAGATCAATTCAACAACACAAGCCACCAACAATGTGCTACGTATTAAGACCCTGTGGATGCAGTGTACCCATACTGTTGTTGCCATCATTATTATTGGGCATCAACTTTGATCTTCTGGGACTGAGAGACTTTAAATATGTTTGAAAAGGTCAACATCAGATGTGAATACTCACCTCCAAATGGTGTGTGACCACCAGTATTGTCTTGCCGTGTAAAATAGTTTTGATGCACTGGGCAAAGATGTGCCGGCCTATGTTGACGTCCACAGTTGACAGGGGATCGTCCAGCAACAAGATGCTGCTTTCACTGTAGATGGCTCGGGCTAGACAGATTCTCTGCTTCTGTCCACCTGATAGGGTTAAACCCCTGTCTCCTATCTGTATTAGAGGGAAAGACAGCAGATCTCTGTCAGTACAATCTGAATATGTGGCTGATCAATCAATTGGTTTGTCACTTTTGGGCTACTTTGTAAAGCTTCATATACCATCTTGAGATTTACAAATCTCAGTTTGGACGGCAGACCAGCAAGGCCGATCTCAGACACCCTGTTCAACCTCCAAAGAAGTGATAATTAGGTCACCTGCCCAGGAAAAGACAATCGGACAGTTCTTCCTGTTGTAGAACAGATCTGTTCTTTGCATATGCTGATGTCACACCCAGGTTCGTCTTTTGTTTGCTACAGGAGGAGTCAATTGAAAGAAAATAGATGAGGAGAAAGATGGTCGTGTCGATAGTGGTGGTGATGATGATGTCCTGCTTGCTGCATGCTTCTCATGTGACTCTGATGTTTGTATAATAAAATTCTGGGATTAACTCTTCTTGTCTGTACTGTCTTTATTGTTATATCTCCGCAATATCACAAACAACATCAGTGATATTCTGAATAGGGCTGTGTTCACCTATGGCTATATACTCTTAAGATCGCGTTGTCTTCTTCATCTCTAATTACTTTGTTAAATGGGATCTAGTGTCGGTAACTGCCATCTGGCTTCTAGTGCTGTTTGGTACTAACAGCTTGATCATCTACTCTAACACCTCATTTGTGTTTCTATCTAATGTGTCTCTGTTAACCATGGATCCATGTGTCTTATGTGTTGTCTCTGTACTTTGTTGTTTCGTTTCATGTCTCCTTTCCATGAGACCGGCTCCTCTTCTTCTATTGTTGAGCTGGCATCTCTACAACTGCGAGGGTCCATGTTACTAGTTCCTCCTTTTCTAAGTCTAATAGACTGAAGGATTTCTTTGAGGGTTCATTTGACTGGTCCCTTCTCTTCCAAGTCTGGCAAACTGAAGGATTACTCAAGTGGTTTCTTTCTAATTATTTATAGTTAGATGCTCAAATGTTAGGTATTTGTTTTCTTCTCACTTTGACTGCTTCTAGAATATTCTTGTATGCTAAAACTTGTTTACTATGTGCGCTCTCACGTGGGATCTTCTAATTAAATCTTGACTGCATCAGATTTTATCATCTTATTCTGCACCTAAATATAGTAATTAAACTGACAGCTGTCCTCATGGAGACTTCCAGAAAGCTAGTACAACTGTGTTCACTTTGACTAGGCACGTCAACAATGACATCATTTACTATTTATAGATGATTCATTTGCAAAATATATCTCTGCTAAAAAAAAACACAGAAGGTTTGGAAAGGAATGTCAAGGTTACCAAAACCTGTTCATTATTCTAACTATGCGCAATATTCTAACTCCTGACAAACAAGTAATGACCTCTCCCTGTTACACTGTGCAACAACACATAGTTGTATTTTAATATTTTATTACACATCATCCACTCATGGAAATCAATTTTTTTAAATTTTGAAGCCCCACCCTGGCTCTTGCCAGGGGCCGCTATATAGCCCGAAAATAAATATGGTCTAATGGCTGAACGCGGTTTCTGTGATCTCTCCACAGTGATCCTCATCCACATGGTGGCACTTGTGTCATCAGGTGTTTATCGCTTGTGTGATGTCCTGGTGGGGCAAAATGTACTACTACTACTACATAGTTGTGGTAATAATAGAATTGAGTCTTTAGAGATGTGGATATACAGAAGAAAAGGTTGCGTATTTCATGGAAATGAAAACAATAAAATACAGAGGCCTGGAGAGATTGCATAAAAAAGAGAATTGCTGAAAGAAAAAAGAAACAACTCAAATGTTCTGGCTACACACAAAAAATAAAACAAATTCTGAAAACCACACTGGAGAGAAAAGTTGAAGGCAAGAGAGCAAGAGTCAGTCAGTGATAAAAGTGCGTAGACATTGGACAAACAGCAGTCTAAAAGAGTGTACAGCAAAGACAAGAGACAGAGTGTGTTGGAGATTCATTGTAGCCAGACTTCACTGTGGCGACAGCACTTGACTGACTGTACGGTAGTAATTGTAGCTGTGGTGATGGTGGTGGTGTTAGTGGTGGTAGTAGTAATAACTGTAGTAGTAGCAACACTAGCAGTGATATTTTACTACATGATCAGTGTCTATGAGGCCGAACATCTTACTTCCACTTCATCATTGGCACCAAAAGTGTCAAAGTCTTTGTCCAGTTTTGTAGCTTTAATGATTCTCTCATATCTGCAACATAAGTTATATTTCTTAGTAAATTTCTTTTCAGCTAGAAAAAATATTAATGTCTAAAGAGATACAACAACAATTTACAAGTTTAAACTGCCAAATATTATTTACCACTATTATTTGCACACAAGCATGAACATTAAACAAGCAACTGAAATTAAATGACTAATATATTCATACAGGTTGCCTCAAAAAATCTGGCAATCAAAAATCCGGTCCAACAGATTTCCAGCGTGGATTTTGGAGAGCATCTTAAATACAAATTCTAAGTTGTTTTTTTCTTTTAACTCTTTGAGTCCCAGGGGGTTTAGCATCAGAGGCCCAAGGGGTAGTCAAAAGAGACGTAAAATGTGTCTGTCTGAGAGGAAAGGAACCAACAGCCTGCATGCAAAAAAAAAAAAGATCTGTACAGCTCAAATCTGGAAAAAAGACCGAAGTCCAGAGATTTAGGTCTTTTTTCCAGATTTGAGCTGTACAGATCTTTTTTTGTTGTTTTTTTGCATGCAGGCTGTTGGTTCCTTGCCTCTCAGACAGACACATTCATAGATATACTCTCTAATACACTCTCCGACTTCAAAGGAAACACTTCAATTAGCTGCTTTGACGACATGCTGTTGGAGGGGGGGGGGGGAGCAGGTCTATTCCTCCCCTAACAGGGGCACTGGAACTCAAACAGGAAGTGGGGTCATCTTTCAAAATTACACAATGACCTACTAAGGTACTGACCCATTATATTTGAAGTTCTACCACAGTATTTGTTTCCCATTTAGGCCAAAGGTGAATCAGATTCTGGCAGTGTGATCATTATGCATGGCATATGATGATGATGATGACGATTATCTAAACATTCATGATTATGACGATGAAATCCATGTTGATACTCACTAAACAATAAAAACGATTTTTAAAACAAAAATATCAATCTAAAATCTGTGAGGAATAAATGTTGAACATGAAATACCTTTCTTTCTCATAAGGTCTCCCAAAGAGAATGTTTTCCCTGGCAGTTCCATTCATGATCCAAGGATCCTGACTAACAAATGCAACACTGTCGGTTATTTGTATGTCTCCTTCCAAAATTTGCATCTGAAAAAAAACAAGTAAAGTCCCTTTTCACACCTTTAGGCATTTTGGGCATATGGAATGAGCACCCATAATTTTACAGACCAAACAGCACTAGGTGGGCAATGTGGTCAGCATTGTGCCGGCGGTCTTTACTTCCCCAGGACATATATCCTGGTACCCATTTTAGGCTGGGTTGCAACGAGTCGGACTCACAACGCCTAAGCCACAGATGCCACATCTGAAAAATTTACAAACATAATTTATATTGTAAAGGGCCCTTTTCCAGACCTTCAAGTTTACTGAACAGATAGGGCTAAACCTTCTTCTTCTTTCATTCACTTGAGAAAGAATATCTATATCCACAATGTTATCTCTACTATAAATTGTACTGTCGGTTGTAATTCAATCAGCGATCCATAAAGTTTGGCTTGCACCGGTGTTTCTCTTGACCAAAAGTTTTGCTTTGATATATATATATATAATATATTTTACTTCATATACCTATTTTTAAAGACCAATGGCTCTTAGTAGATGATGTGGTCAACATCTAACGGGCCGCCTTTACATCCCAGGACTTCACCTGGTACCCATTTGAGACTGGGTCGATTCTGGAGCTAAGATCCTTCCTGAAAAAGTCCGGCTCCGTACAGACAGTGGAGATGTAGTTTTTCAGATAAATGTTGAGAATATCATAAACAAAGAAGACAGTAACTAACATCATGTGCCAACTGGTGTTACCACCACTGTATTCTCTCTCAGTGTGCTTCTGACTGATTAACTACCTACAAACATAAAGGTGCTACTAAGTTAATCTATTTTATTTTATATATTCTTTATAAACTCTGGGAGAAAGTCTGGTCGTTCATCCACTTTTGGACTGCTCTTGTTCTAGAAATTGCATTAGGTGTGCACATCAATTTCACAGAACTGGCTTATTTGTATGCAAGTTTTTTTTTTTTCAATCGCCTTTAACTGGGAAACAGGGGGAAGGGGGGAGGCAGTAAAATTCCTTGGAACCCACCCACTCAGGGCCCTGGAACCTACTCACCCAGGGCCTTGGAACCCACCCACTCAGGGCCCTGGAACCTACTCACCCAGGGCCCTGGAACCCACCCACCCAGGGCCCTGGAACCCACCCACCCAGGGCCCTTGAACCCACCCACCCAGGGCCTTGGAACCTACCCAACCTACCCACCCAGGGCCTTGGAACCTACTCAGCCAGGGCCTTAGAACCTACACACCCGGGGCCTTGGAACCTACCCACCCAGGGTTTTGGAACCCCCCTTCCCACCCAGGGCCTTGGTGTGCTGCAGACACTAAAAATTTAGGGGTTGTCAGAACAATTTTGAGAATATGATGGATGACATAAAACAACAATAACAACCATCATTTGACTTCATGTACCGATATTATTTCTCATGCATAACGTCCATGTACTGTCATTTATTTCATACGCCCTCTTCTAACTATCAGTAATAGTACCTTATTGTAGTGCCAAAACATTATTCTTATAATGGGTTTCAAATGATAAAAGCAATAGAAATTTTAATAAAAAAGTTGGGAGATGTGAACCGGCATCATTGCCCATGGTTATAAACCATAAGTGCTCTGCTACCAGTACGGACAGCTGATAAAAAACTGTCCGCCTGTGTCGCCGTCCGCACGCAACTGCGTAGCTACAGCGACGTTCCTCCATTTACCCCAGAGGTTACATAGAGGTTGGGTGAACTCCAGGAACTATCCGGTTTTGAACATCGGTCGTGGGCTGCAGCGAGTCGCAGCTGGATTTGAAAGCGAGCCTCCTATTGACTGCGCTAATGTGCCCCCCCCCCCCCCCCCGCCTCCCCGAGAATGTTTAATATTTTTTTTAACTAACAGTTATATTTTGCAATCCTGAAAATTGTGTCACCCTGTGCAGCTGCACATGTTGCACATGCCTAAATATGACTTTTGTGCTTGACCACTATCTTTGCAGACCAATCGTCCCTCAGTGGACAACATGATCAAAACTATGCTGGCTGCCTTTACTTCCCATGATATTTTCTATTGCCAATTTGACCAGGAAGCCTTAAG